AAATACTGTAGCTTTCTTCTTCTTCTGCTCAACAGAAAAAAAAAAGAAAACTGGTAACACTTTAAGTGCAGCGTAAGTCAACATAAGTGCCTTATGACTGTGCTTGCTTCCTACATTATGATCAGGAAGTTGTAATAGATTAGGCCTCAGCATCATGAATTAAGTATGTGCTGTGAGACAATTTGGAGCCAGAAATATATTTGGTGTCTTCAGGCAGCACTGCGGCGCGGTGGTTAGTGCTGTTGCCTCAGTTCCGGGTCCGAGCCTGGGCATGTTCTCCCTCTGCCTGTGTGGGTTCTCTCCAGGTACTCTGGCTTCCTCCCACAGACATGTAGCTTAGGTTGACTGGCGATATTAAATTGCCCTTAGGCGTGAATGTGAGTGTATGGGGTTGTTTGTCTACGTGTCCACCCTGTGATAGACTGGTGACCTCTCACCCAGTGTCAGTTGGGATGAGTATAGATAATGGACGGATATGTTTGATTTCTTCTTCACTTCTTTTTTTGTATTTACTGTAACTGATAATTCTCGTGCATTTCCAATGTGCTAACTGCAATAATGGTCACATTTCAAGCACTAGAACCTCTTATCTGGTTCACCATCACACTGTGAACTAATGCTACAGGTTTTACTCAAACATCTGGATGCATCTCTGTGACTACCAAGGCGCAGTACTTCCTGTGCACAAAGCCGAGTGATACGAAGATGTTTGCATAACAAAATGAGAACTATTATTATCAGAGAACAAATCTGAACACACTTCAACAGACCATGACAAAACAGTGAGTGTTCAGACACAGGAAAAATGAACCCTTTAAAAGTTCACTTTATTTTAGCCTTCTCTCATGTGGACATGAGGCTATGTGGAATATTTCTCTCTCACTCACTGCTATATTTTTCATGTCCGCCACAACAGACTCCCTATTTTTGTTAAACCATGTATTTGTTAATCAAATACATCATTTGCCAAAACTACTGGTGACGTATTTGATCAGAGTTTAATTTGTTTACTTTGGCTGTAAAATTGAAACAAGACAGAGAGTCTACGCCGTTCTAGTGGCTCTAAGGCTGTGCTTTCAATTAAATGCTAACATCAACAGGCTAAGACGCTGATGTGAAGCAGGCATGTTTATCATGATGTAGATATATGCTGCAGGCCAAATTTCATAGCAACCCATTCAGAAGATTTAGAGATATTTCACTAAAAACCACAGACGTGAACATCAGGCTGGTGCCAGACAGAAAGCAATTGGGATTTTTTTTCTTTTAAATCTGGGCCAAAGTGATAGCCTGCCTGACCCACAGTGCCATTTAAATGAATTAAACTGCACCTACACAATAATAATGAAAAAATGTCAAAACACATAGAAATGTGTTGCTTGGCGGCCTCTGCATGTTTTCTTCAGCCTGCTCAGTGTCTGTGGCCTTGGTCGAGCCTTTCCTGTGACACTGAGTGTCTTTGTTGCTGAGAAAAGTGTGACAGTCAGATGGATGTGGCGTGCTGCCTGTTTGTTGGGGCTTGTGTGTTCGTTGCCATAGCAACTGTCTGGCTGCCATGGCGGAGGTGGCAGCTGCTACGTGATTCACGGACAGCCAGAGCGGCCGTGCAAGGCAAACGTTTGGCAACAGGGCACAGAAGAAAGCATTTGGTAGTTCTGCAGAGATTCCAGCTGCTACCCACAATGCACCAGCATGAGCAGAGTGAAGCTGTAATTCACTACCAACACTGTGAGAAAACAACACAACTAGATCCATTTAGTAACTGTTCTGGAGCTTTCACTTTGTAGTTGTACCCTGTTGGACTACAGTGAATCTTTCAGTCTCAATTCACAAACCAAGAAGAAGAAATTCCTTAAAATGTTCAGGAAAAAATGAAATTTGAGCATCTACAAGTAGTGAGAACTGAGCAAACTCCATCCACAGATGGGAATTGTTATTTAGTCTTGATACTTTTTCCAGTATCAAATATGAACTGTGACCCTTCCTGTCAGATGTTTTTATGAGTTAACATCATGTTCTGTTTTAAATTTGTTAGAAAAAGCTGAGACAAGACACATTAGCAAACAAAAGAGACTGTGCAGGGAGAATATAGACAAAATAACAATGACACAAACTTTTAAAAAGTGTTTAATCAGAAAGTCCACGTCAAGAACAGGAGGAGACAAGAGGACAACCACTTCTTTACTATATCATGGGAATGCACAATCACCTTGAGAAAACAGAGACCAAATAACCTAAAATAAAAACACGGGCATACAAAATGTTTCACACGTTGTTTGCTGGTTTTCACTGGGACTTCTTCAGTCTAGTTTCCAGGCAACATTTTTCTTGGGGGGGGTGTGACCCTGAACCTGACGATGAAGCAGAGAAAACACGTCACACGATGCAAAGGATGGATTAGCTTAGAGTCTGTTTGACTTAAACAAATCTCATGAAAATCAATGAGACAAACAAAGCAAATGAGTTGATGAATGGGCACGATACCTGTCTATTTGTACGTGTGGCTCTCGGTTCCACCGTGTCCAAACCCTGAGAGGACATTTACATTAGAAATTAGGTTTCAAGTGGACCATTTCCAGCCTCAACGCAATCATGTACAGAACAGATTCCTCACACAGGTGACGGAGTCTTCATGGTATCAGAGTCACTTTGGCTTGTTATTTTACAGTAATAGGATGATAATATAAAAAAGAGTAGATGAGAAGATGCTTACCTTTAGGCCCAAACATTGCTGCGTAGCAGGGTTTGTTACAGTATGGCTTACCATCATGCTGTAAGACAGAGAGCTGGCTATAAGGTTATAATAGAAAACATTTCAATATATTTAGGTGATGCATGTTGTGGAAAATCTTCCCCCAGCATGACACGTTGTCTCTGTTCGCTTAATTAAAACACCATTTTGCTTCACTTTTAAGACAGCATACACATAAAATCCCTATACTGGCAACATCTACAGTATCATGGCAGGAAGGCAAAAGCTCACAAACAGTCACTATGTGGACCTTTTGATTCTCTGTTTGTTTTTAATAATATTGGAGCCTCACCTCTGCATGGGAGCCTGCTGACAGCGTCTTGTTGCACTTCTCACACTTCAGACAGGGCCTGTGCCAGTCCTTGCCCAGCGATGTCACCTTCTCCGCTGCCAAACACATCAAAAGACAAAATTAATAACCACAGCCTCAAACCTCCAACAGGAAGAGACTTACTGTTGTCTGCAGACAATGCCCAATAAAATAGTTTCAGAACAACAAAATGTACACTGTAGATAGATGTGAGAACATAGTTTGGGTATGGTGCTATAAAGGGAAAAGGAGGACAGGGTGCCCCTGAGGAATCTGTCCTCCTCCTGTCTCATAACCTCTGATAGAGACCGTCTTTATCTGCATGGATGATCTGCACAAACACTTGTCTGGAAGACTGTAAAAGTGGGTAGGAACATAAATCTTTACTGGTGGAGATGGACAAGGGTTTACATGACTTTTGAGACTTGTCACATGGTTACAAGAGAGACTAAGAGTCTGCAAAGCTACTTAGGTCAGAGAGAGAAACCTTCGAGACCAAGCACAGGAAATACTCAAAATGGAGACGTGTTATTACAAGTTGAGGCCTAAGGAGCACAAAACCTGTTTAACATCTGCTAATGTCCTAAAAGCATAAGAAGTCAGGAAGGACAAGTGATGACTGAACAAATGCAAAAAACTCTCGCTTTTGATGATGCCACTGGCCTCCAAACAATCCCACAAAAGTAGGATATGATACTTCCTTGTTAAAAATAGCCTGATGTGGCATGAGATTGTGCAATGGAAACAAAGAAAGTACTCCAGGGCGGGTCCAGGCTCTTAGGCAAGCTTCATGAAAACATTTCAGCAAAGTATGGCAGGAGTTGGAACGCAAGTCTAACTCTAAATAATTACTGTACTTCACTGCAAATAACAATCCTGTGGAATGAGCAAACAGCGAGCTGTGGAAGCAGTAATGCAAGGGAGTCTCAGTTAGTTCCACCCTGATTAGATGCAAACATGCCTGTGTGTTTTGTTTAACTTTTGACTGATAAAACCTACAGTACCTGTGTCCATAAGCATATTTATTTTAGCTGATGACATGAAAACAAATAGGGTGAGACAGACAAGTAGAGTAATCCAGTCGTCTCTTGGCATCAACTCACACTGACTGGAGCTTTATGGCGGCAGTCCAATATACACAATCAGCTAGTTGCTATAACTGTATATCTCAAGGAATATGATCAGTTTGGGATAGAAAGAGGAGAATACTGATATAATTTACATGTCCACGAGTAAAGTATGTAAATACAACGCTACCATGAGCAGATGGCTAGCATAGCTAGCCTGGTGCCGTCCAGAAGAAACACAACCTAGCACCTCTAAATCTCACTACTTAAAGAAATAGTTTGGCATTCTGGGGGAAATAATGTACTTATGCACTTTCTTGTGAAGAGTCAGATGAGGAAATTGTCTCTATGTTAAATATAAACCTACAACCTGTAGCCTGTCAACCTTAGCTTAGCAAAAACACTGGAGACGGCAGGACTCTGTATAAAGGCCGCAAAATTTGCCTCCCACCACCTCCAGTGCCTCTGGGTGGGTGTGTGTCTGTTACGCCTGGTCAGGAATCCACCCGTGAAAGAGATGAGAATGGTATCTTCTCCACTAACTCTGCCAAAGAAAGCAAATAGTCGTATTTCCTAAATGTCAGACTGTTCTTTTAAGGTCGAAGACTCTGAGGTTTTGAGATATGAAAAACTCGATAAATGCAGGAAAAGCCTGTTTGTGGTTTCTCCATCAGTTTGCAAGGCATTGTTTCTGTTGCTACCTTTAAACTAAATCTCTGCACAAGTAACATTTCCAACACTTTTTTTTTTTAAGTCAGTGGTGCTGTGGCAGAAAACATGATCCTCTTTTTTTGGGAACTTAACCAGATTCCCCCCTGCAGCAGTCAGGCAAACAGCGGTAGCCTGATTGTTTCCATGTGAGAGCAAGATTAAGACAGATGACCAGCAATAGAGACAAAGAAAGAAGGGAGGGCGATGGAGGAAATAGAGATGACCACAGACTGTGGAGTGAAGTAGAGGAGGTTTGATGCTGGACAATAACAAGAGTGTGCAACCACAAAAAGAATACAAACTTTCATTCAGGTGACTTGTCCCTGTTATATTTCATAACAGTGCATTTTTTCTCTTCCTGTATGGAAATGTAAACGATTAGTCAGCTTGTTCTGATTGGAACAAATTAGTTTGCTAGTTTTGGCCAGAAGGAGAAAGTTTATCCATGAAAAGAAAGAATGGAAAGAACAGCTTCCTATAGTCATACGGTCAAGACTTGGCTTTGGATTTTGTACTGGCCTTGGCCTCTGTGTGTCTCTTTGGAAACGGTTTGCTCTGGAAACAATGTGGTAAGTGAATTAAGACAAAAATAAAATGGAGCTGTCCCTTTCCTCCCTGAATGCAGTAATTGGTCCCTGCTTTGAGGGTATCTTCATGAAACAGAGCTACTGAAACCTGCTCCTTCTGCTCCATCAGTTATCTAGGACAAATCCATTTCTGTAAGGCACTGGACCATAAACTCCTAAGTAACCTATTAAGAAAAATGTTTGGAGAGCCTGCCAGGCATTATCTGCAAGATGCATAAGTAAGTACAGGCAAATATAAACAGCTAGGATGCTGCATCAACAGCAGAAGAAAGGGAACAGTGATAAAACTCCAGCAATGCAAAGTAACTGTAACTTAAGTACTGTACTTTACTTGAGCACTTTCATTTTCTGCTGCTTTCTACTTATACTACACTTCAGAGTGAAGTATGATTTGCCCTGCAATCACAGCTGTATTTGCCTTTCAGATTAAAATTTACATGCAAAACCTTGGCTATTAAAACGTCATGATTATATGTGATACTAGTACATAGAATGGTTCGAGCTCCTCCTTGAAAGAAAGCTTTTGTACAGCTGTTAATATATTTATAATAACAAGTGGTGGAAGAAACAGTCACATCATTTTACTTTAGTAGAAGTAGCAGACCTTTATGTAAATATACCCCATCACAGGTTTAAGTCCTGCATTCAAAATTATACATAGGAGTACTTAAAGTTCCAAAAGTAAATGTACTCATTATGCAGAATGCCTGAACGGCTCCTGTAAGTATCATGTTATTATATTTTTGGAGTATTATTCTTTTGATGTACTTGCTCTTCTATTTTTAATTTGCTGCTACCTGTCTACTTTTTACTGCACTCCATTTATTTCGCAGCCATATTTACTGAATACTTTGTGAACTATGATTCTACATACACATCATAGAAAAATATCATGATGCAGTTGTTAAAATGAACTCCACTTCAACCCACTACTGAGCTTTACTTGTTCTTTACTGTAGGATAAATACATTTAACTGATCATATTTTTGTACTTGAATAACATTTTGAATGCACCTTGTACTTAAGTGTAGAACTCACTAAAAAAAAATACTACTGTACTCACAAATAAGTCAGTTCTTGACAGTTACAATTTATGCTTATAATACTGAACCTGAACATGCCTCATGTCATGTGCTTGTCAGTCACTCCGTTAAGTTCAGCTTCCTGTTTCCTCATTTGTATCGAAAAGCCCAAAATTTCATTAACCAGGAAATACTCTTGTGCAAAAACACTATATAGTCTATTTCTATTTGGTGGAAAATCAAAATCAGCCTTACCGAAGTAAACTTCCTTCTGGCACTTGGGGCACTTTGGCATTTTGTTGCCGCTGTGTTTGTTAATCTACTGGAGAGAAAACAGCGCAGGAGCCCTACGGGTGAAGTTGCGGCTGAAGTTGCGGGTGAAGTGCGTGTGCAGCTGTGCCGACCGTCCACCTGTTAGCTCTGCCTGACCACGCCTCGTTCTGGGGTGCAGATGTGCGCTCCCTCCTGCATTTATAGCGCCGAGGAAATAGCTCAGCTGAAACTTTTTTGTTTTTTTAAATTCTCTCTCTCAGTGGGAGAGGCTTGCGTTGAGTCTGTGCGTGTGTGTGTGCAGCTTAAAAGATGGCTGCTGCACTTAACGCCTTGCCTTTTTGTAGTTTTTATGTTATTCCTAATCTCCAAAGGGATAAGTTTTAAGTCTTGTTTCATCACTGTGACCTAAGTTTAGAGGCTGCAAGTCATCACCTGGGCCTAATATGTAATCAGGTAATTAGTGGGAGTCATTTGTAGTCTACACAATGTCTAGGTGGAACAAACACTGAATTATTAATGCTTTATACAAATGTTCCTGTTCAGGTCCAGTTTCCTTTTGACAACTATTTCACACCTTGCAAGAGTTCATCAGAGAGAGTTGGTGCAGAACTGGGTGAATATTATATGATTCAGCATAAGCACTATATCATACATGAACATGAAGTCTCAGAATTCAGGTTCCACCTTAAGGGATGTTTCCTTGAATACCAAAATGAAACATGCTTTTAAAATGCACAAAGTGTAGATGTCCATTCTTCCTTGTATTCACCGCTCAGATTATGGAAGTTACAGTGTGCCCTTCTGAATCACCGCTGATTATAGAATATTGAAAATTAATACTCATAAATTAAACCATAGATTGAAGGAGGTCAAGTTGGCGGGCTGCTGCTCAGTTCCGCTCCTTCATTATTTATTTTCTGGTGTGACGTGCATGAACATGAGTAAAGGGGCCTCCCCTCTGTCACAATCTACTTGATATGTGACTCCACCAGTCTCACTCAGTGCTGGACAGTAAGATAACCCAACTAATGAATAATCCAAGTCAGGGTGACTCAACACAGCTGGCAGCAATTTTTGTTCTGCCTTTTGAAATCGCCACTGGAAGTCTACTATCCATGTAGTTACAGTCGATTACATTATGCACATTTATAGTACTCCCTATGTTTGTTTTAATCTTGATTTATTCAGGGAAGCTGGGGGTGGTGTTGATGGTGGATGGGCAAGTGCTGCTTCTTCTCTCCTCCCATCCAGGTTTAATTGTTTAGTTAGGCCATAGGTTGAAATGGAAATGGAAAAAGTTATCTAAAACTTTCTGTTGAATGGTTGAAACAGCACTAGGTGGTAGGAATGCAGATTGCAGCATGAAGGAGATGATGATGATGATGATGATGATGATGTTGCACATCTGTTTGGCTTGGCCACTGCTTTGACTTTGAGCTCACAGAGTTCTGGGTGTAAACGTTACAATACAAGCAGACCTCTCCTGACTCCAGGCCGAGTTTTGACCTGAACAGCAGGGTTGGAAATCTGTGTGTGTGTGTGTGTGTGTGTGTGTGTGTGTGTGTGTGTGTGTGTGTGGTGTGTGTGTGTGTGTGTGTGTGTGAGTTGACACTTTTATGTGGTGTTATCACATGTTGCACCTTTAGAGTAAGGAGTGTTTGTCTGTCTCCTACTGCAGTTGAGTGACTTCTCAGAGATAACAAACCCTTTGGGGATCCTTTTAATGAAATCTCCATGGCAACCAAACAAAAACAGATGCCAAAAACACAAACCTCAAGTACTTCTTTGATTGAAGTTGGATGAAGGTTAAGTCACAATAAACACTCACTATAACCTCATAACAACTGGTGCGAAGTAGCCAACGTGGAGTGTCTTATCGAACATGTTAATTTGCATGAATGGCAGTAGGCAGTATGCCAAAGCAAAAAGAAAAGGACAAAACAAGTCTAACCTGTTAACGCTGAATTTAACAGGATAATGATATGTTCTTTCCAGACCTGGCTCACAGTGGTAGATTTACCTGCTGCATTTGCTGACTGAGGGACTCTCAAAGCCCTTGGAATGAGAGGTTTGCCTTTTAATTTTCTTCATGGGGTGGTCTCTATTAAATCTGGGATGCCAGGCAGAAGCTCTGCTGTCCACAGATAAATCACTGAGCCCATCTCTCCCAGCCACCCAGGTAGCGAAGGGTCACGCCTCCACAGCCTGAGCCCGTGAGGTTGATGTTCCCCTGATGTCTCTCTTACTGCCTTGTAATCTTGCAGTGATCGGTCCTCTTCCCTTAAATTAAACAAGATTAGCATGGAGGGTTTGTATTCTGCATCACTAATCAAGCGCAGTGATGCACACAAAGTACTACCACAGTGTGAACAGCATGCATACAGTACTCTACAGCAGGGAAATACACAGTATGTCACAATCCCTGCCTAACTCTGATATGCTCTCTTTCTTCACCTCTTTAGGTTGTTATTTTCCAATCATTTTCATAAACTGCCTTGCACCCTTTCCATATAGCATGAGCAATCATTTTTTTGTCTTAGGAGTTGCTCTACATCTCTTTATGGTAGTCTTATATCTCTTTGGGATTGCTTTCTGCCTATTTTTGGTAGTTTTGCATCTTAATTTAATAGTTCAGTGTCTCTTAGCCTTTGTTACTGTTTTGAGTCTGCTTGTGGTTGTTTTGCATCTATTTGTAGTCTTTCAAACAAGAAATATTAACTGTTACCTAATACAGAAGCTCAGGTCCAGCTCCCTGACCTCTCAGGCCCGTGGGCCTGTTCCCTGAAGGCCCAATAATGCTTCCATGGCATTCTTCACCCAGCCTCCAGATGTCTCAGGACTTTCCCGCTGCCCCCTGTCAACAGACTCTGCTCACCTGCACACCTGTTTCCTATTCCCCAATCAGGCCTGAATCCCTCAGTCTTCTGACAGATTGCCTCATGTGCCTTCCAAGCCAAAGTGTTCCAGCCATATCTAACTGTTTATGTTCATGTTTTGTTTGATTTGTTTTGGATTCAACCTCTTTTTTGGACTTTGAATTTCCCCCCTGGACTTCTGTTGTTTTTGGAATTACTTGTCTGCCAGGCCTGGCCTTCGACATCTATATGTTCCAACCTCGTCTCCCTTTATCCATGTCCAGTTTGGGTTGCCTGGACTAAGAGTAAGTCTGTTTTTGCCTCTTGCTTACAATACATTGTTCTCTGCATCTGTATCTGTGTCTAATTTGTAAGAGCTGCTTCTGTTGGGAGAATTGGCTGAAGTGACCATGGCTGTGGCGTCACTGAGGTCATGTCCTTGGTATTATTCTGGGAATTTGGGGGGGTTAGGAGTCTAAAGGAAGTTTATATTCTGCAGTTAAAATGGTGCCAAAGCATTCAGACCTTTCTAGAAACTATACTTGAACAGTTAAATGATGTTAAGGTGGCTATAATGAGCATTTTTCTGTTAACAGTGGATCACATGGGTGAAAGGCAAGAAAGCTGAGATCAGACCTGACTTGTTTCCTTAGTGCTATGGAGCGTTTTAATGTCTGTCAGGTGTTCTGGATCCCAGCTTTACTGTTTTCATTTTGAACACAGCGCTTGAGGAAATTTTGTTTATCTGCAAATGCTTGCTTACATGTGACGTCTGTGACTGGTGTTTTGCATTTGCTTTGCATTGTATTTCAATTTCAGCATTATCCGAGTACAGCCTTGCTGACCCACATTTTTCCAGAATCACTGTTGGTGCTTTTTTATCTCAGCTCCCATTACCTCATGCTACACATACTGTAAGGTTCCTGTGATCTGAGAACAGGAAAACACTGAAGCATCTGCTCTCTGTTGTAGTTACTGGACTGATTATTTATCCTCTCATCAGTGGTAAAAGTCCTGATTGGTTCTGTACTGTAGGCAGCTGTTGTCAGTGATACCCATTTAATAAGAAAAGTAAAACTTTCTTCCTGAACACTGTAATGATCCGTGGCAGTATAAAGTAAATGTGATGTGCTGAAATATCACAAAGGTGACATCCAACCTGAAATGATCCTTATGAGTGCATGTCAAAGGGAGTGCTTTCCTGTGCCGCTCTCTTTTTTAGAGGATAGGATAAGTGCGACACAAATTGCATGTGTAGTTTTGATGAAGTCCATACCACAACACTGTACGCTTTCATAAAGATTTTCATCAACTGCCCTGGCGCCATCACCTCTCACTGACACGTTTGTGGAGTAATATGTCTTGCATCACATCATCTTGGAGCCGTTCCATCTCTTTCCTCTTGTTGTTTTTCTCTTCACTTGTCTGAACATACGGTACTTACCCGTTGCTGCTGCAGAGAGTGGGATGTCCAACGTGACCTTGGCTTCCTGATACAGTGACCGTAAGGGATGAGTGAATGCTGGTGTCCTGAATATAACCAGGAAACCTTTATTCTCATGTTTGATCTGTTTTATTCAGTGCTAGCTTCTTTTTTTTTTAATCCTCGCATTGTTTCTTTGAGAAATGTTTGCTGTTTTCTGTGACTACTGCTTCATGATAGAAGTCAATGCTTCAACAGCTGAACATAATGTGCAGCAGGGACAGTAAGAAATGTTTGGTTTGCATTGGCTCTGATACACTGTAGAGATTAGACAGTAAAGCTGTTATGAGATAATTACTCTGGATGATGTGCACGCATCCTTTTTGTATAAATGTCTTCTGCATGTGAAGGCAATTTAAAGTGATGGCAGAAATGCCAGACTACACCACTAAAAATGAAAAGTCGTGTCGAGGGTGTATTTACAGAATGTGGCTATATTACATGGGTACTAAAGGAAATTGTCGGCCACAAATGTTCTTAAACGGTTTGATTTCATGAGTGGGTCAAGTCTTTGTAAAGCACTTTGCCTTGTTGTTGAAAGGCGCTGCAGAAATAAACTTGACCTTTTGTCTTGAGCACGATTCTAAAAAGAGTGGAGAGCGTGTCCTGTATTTTGATTAGTCATAAGTTTGTAGCCAGGTTGTTTTTTTTTCTTCCCATGGTTGAAAAGTGTCACCTAAATATGCAGAGATTCTGTGCAAAAGCCAGAGATGGCAGACCAGTTCAAACCGTGTTTGCTTTGGATTTCTTTCTGCTGTGGCCTCTCAATCAAAACAAACAGATGCATGTACAGTACAAACACTGTTGCTCGGGGTAAGTACGGGTCAAGCATTTGGATCTTCATGGGAACTGTCAAGGAAGGAAAGCCCAAATTTGGCATCATCTAGAGG